AGTAGATACTGCAACAAAACTTAGTCCAGTTCACTTATTTATAAGGCACAAGAATTTATTTATATAGCAATTCACTATTTATTTCACTCTACGATTTATTTATTTGCCCGCGTATTTATCTGATTCACTTGACTATTCGACTCTCTCTGAGTCTCTGAGCGACGACAGGCGCGCTTATATAGGCAGTGGCGATGTTCAGGAAAACATCGAGTCGCGCCTCGAACGGCACGGATCTTTCTAGTTTAGTCGCCTTCGAGAATCAAGCCGCCGCGCCGCGCCGATAGACGGATAGACGTTTACCATCGGCGCTGTTGTCAGATTGCTTTATTTTTCGCGGGTCTCGCTACAATACGAATCTGATTCGTATTGTCTGCAAGAGCGGCACACCTCAAGTAGGCTTACGGCACACCAGTGTGCCGCGGAACACCGGTTGCGGAGCACTGACGTAGGTTACAGACGGCTACAATTTAAAATTTGTTAGATGTATACAGGATGTCCCACATAAATGAAAAAAAAAATAGTTCATTAAAAATTATTCAAACAAGAGTAAACAATTAATTTCTGGGAGACTTTTTTTCCTTAAAAATTCAAATAAATCGAAAACTAATAATAATAGTAATAGGGATCCTTTAGTTAACTGACATTATTTTTGATGTAGTTTTTAATTCTAAAATAAAAAACAGGGTGTTCCAATAAAAATAATATAACTTTGTATATTTTCTCTTATGTGGGACATCCTGTATACATCTAACAAATTTTAAATTGTAGCCGTCTGTAACCTACGTATTCCTCCCAAACGAATTTGTTATATCTTTGGTCGTTTTCCCATAAAGCTCCGTCCCGTTGAGCGTGAGCCACCCTGTATAGATTTACACATAGTCACTATGTTAGTGTGAACTTCTAACAAAAAACTACTTTATTAAAAATTTGTAGTAGAAATAGTAAACACGATTAAATAAATTTCCCGTATTTTATTTAGTTATAGGTTATGTTAATTGTTGAAATTATGGAACAATGTACAAACAAATAGCATTTATAATACATTACACTGATTACGCTATTGGTTGAAATGTGACATGAACGATTGAAATATGTTAATGACCAATAATAAGTGACTGTCATAGTTTATGGTCGTTGAGTAAGAACTGCCTTCACGTAATGGTCACTATTGTCAGTCGTTCATAGTTCAATGTTGAACCACCATGCGCGATGCGCAACGAGTGCCAAAAATCGGCCCAAAACGCGTAGACAGGTTTTGTATATGAATGAAACCATCTGGATACCTATTCTCTAACTCATGGGAGCACTCCCACACTCCCATGCTCCCATACTCCCATGCCAACGTTGCCAAGTCGACAGAATAACTTTGATCTACTATTTAAGGACCGATCCACCGTTGTGTTAAACGAAGTTTAAAATGACATTTTTACATTAACAATGTCATTTTAATCTCCGTTTAACTCAACGGTGGAATCAGCCCTTAGTAATTCAAATTTGCTTTGTGATAAATACGGACCTAATCTGGCAAGCCCGCAATTCTCCCTCCCATAGTATAAAATCTGACCTTACTACGCATGTACCTGGGCTAAAAGTGAGTAAGCACGATATACCCACCTAAGAGTAAGAGAGCAAAATATATGGGAGCACTCCCATGGGAGCGCTCCCATGACTTAGTGAATAGCTATCCTGCTATGTCTTATCTCTGTTTCATGTCTTCCGAATGTGTATACAAAGTTTAAAGTGAGTAGGTTTCTTCTAAGTTGTAGAATTCTCCCGACAAAAGTCCCATTACACGCGCTGCGCGGGATCCAAAACTCGTGTATATGTCGCAAGCTTATTATAAAATCAGTATTATTATAATACGTCTAGGCTTTTTCAATACGACTAGGCATATCATAATACTACTCAACTAATTAAGAATCTCACAATTTAACTAATAATTTCAGGCGTATTATAATAAGCCTGCCGCTTGTTAGTCTTATTGTTAAATTGAACCGACGCGCATGTGTTTTAGAATCCGACTAGATTTAAGCCGTCGTATTATAAATACGACTAACGATATGCCAGGCGAATTGCAATCATCATTGTTGTTGGGTTGATTGAATGTTTTAATTTTTTTGTACCTAACTAATATTTGTGCAAAATATTAATTATATTTAAAATGAGGGATTTAAAAAGTGTTCTTGCAAGCCAAGCAAGACACAGTGTTATAGCAATACATGTTTATTTTTTAAAGCTCGTATGAAATGTACTAGCAAATGTCATAATTGCGGATTATGCGGTAATAAATAATCCTAATCTATTTTTTTGTGTGTCATCGGCATTAACTACTATGGTTATTAGCCTCGTGCTCTATGTAGGCATTGTTACTGTTTCCCAGCGCCACTTTAGGAACAGCACTGTCAGTTAGAACTCAACAGTAAATGATCAAGTGGAATCCTAATCCAGTATTTGTATTTTAATTTTAAATAGTTTAGAATGTTTAAAATCGAGTATAGTTTGCATGGCACACAATTTTCTATTTCGAACGTAAATAACAGATATATTCCATAAAATAGAAAAACGACCCTCAGATGTTCCGACTATTCCCAAAATATAATCTGCTCACCGCCGGATGGATAAAAGCTTAAATCTTAAAAAAATTGTACCTATTTTGTGTTTTATTCATTGTGGTCGTTGAAAAAGTATAGTGAGCTACTCGTTCAGAAAACCAATTCCACACTCTTGTAATTATTTTACACATCGTGTGGAATTGGTTATTTTCTGCACTCGTTGCACAATATACTAATTTCCTTTAAAATAATCAAGTATGAAGATCTTGCTGTCCGGGTAGCAGATATTTTTTTCTTAACCATCCTCCCGAGTCCTACCGCTTGCCGAGTCCTCATTTGCTGCGTATGCATGTACCGATCTTTGATTTGATTGAAAAGTGGACATATTTCTTATTATTGTCGTACCAGTTGAAAATAGGTTATGTTAAAAATGCAGAAAGATGATGATATAATAATAATAGGTATTCAAGAAAATATAAATAAATACGAATAGTTACAAGTAGTATAAATACAAAGTTTAATAATTATTCAAATGAATGCCTAGTATAAATACAGAATAAATTAGACATTGATAACTCACTGATGCGTTATAATATCTGTGTGCAAGCTAGTTTATCTTTCGATTTAGAATGATATAGAAATAAATAAGTAAATAAATAAATAAATAAATAAATAAGTAATTAGGCATACTTATGAGTAAAAAATAGAGTCCAGTACGCTTTAGGTACGACGTAATTTGAAAAATTAATTTAAACAATAAAAAGTACCCATGCTATAGAATAAATTTCTAAAAAAAATGCTGATCAGCCCTGCTGATAACAGAATATTTTCTAAGAAAAGTTAAGATTTTGATGTTCTTAACCTAACATTTTATCAATTTCTTACAGTTTTGCCAAGAGGTTCAGTACTTTACACCTTATACTACATAAAATACTGAAATATTTTTTTCTCGTAAAATGAATTAGGACAAGGAAAATCTTTATAAATGAATCACAATATTATTTATTTATTAAATAATTTCAGTAAGTAAAGATAAAATACCTAAATATTGATATTACCCATTCTTTAATTGTGAAAAAATGACGATATAGCCTATAAAATTGTAAATTTGATAAAATTTTCTTATTTTTTTTTTAGAAGTATACAATATGTAATGGGAACTTTTTAGTGTAATCATTTTTTTTCTTCTAAATTTCGAGGTACCTAAAGCGTACAGGAGCCAAATTATATGTTCAGTATTTGTATAGTTCTTGATTCATTGATTTACTAACAATTTTAAAACATAAATTTGTAGAAAGTAGAAGAATCTCGAATCTCGGTAAAACAATCCTCATAAGGGCATCGAAAGAATGGAATTTTTTAACCCTATTAAAAAAAAAAAGGAAAATACTGAACACCTCAAGTTAGGATGTTCCAATGAAAATTTTATATAAACCCAACAATTAGAAAATAAAATTGTACGAAACAAAATCAACTTTAAAAGGTGCTCCCCAATTATTTCAAACGCGTAAACGCAATATGTGAGGGACTCGGAAAGCGGTAGAACTCGGCAAGCGGTAGGACTCGGGAAGATGGTTAAGAAAAAAATATCTGCGCCCGGCAGATGGTTTCGTGATCGTGTTTAAAAGGCATATATTCTGGTAACTATTCATTTCTTTTAACATTCAATTTTTTTTTAAATAGCTAAATGATTTCCCTTTGTTTGTAGTTTTATTCTATTATAGAAAACGGATTTATCAATTTAAATTTTAAAATATTTAATTTAATTTAGTTGAAAAAAAATAATAAGATTTAATACTAAAATTATAAAACATTTTAATCCATTAAAAAAAATAAAAAAAAAATTTGGGCTCGTCCGGGATTTGAACCCGGGACCTCCCGCACCCTAAGCGGAAATCATACCCCTAGACCAACGAGCCATATTGTAGAAGTTTTCATATACTGTATTTAAATCGTGGGGATATAATATTTTGATTGAAATAAAAATGTTTTTATAAACAAATGTACTTATTTTTATTTTTTAATTACCACTATACCAACTGCAGGTAAATGTCATTATCTTATTTAACCTCCTTTCGCCATATGAATAAAGTAAGCATAGGTACGTTACGTATTTATAGTAGATATCATTATTGTAAACAAAAAGTCTTAGTTCCAAGTATTGTGCAAATTAATAATAAAGACACAATTAATTTTTTTTAACTAAAAATATTTCACAAAATGTCTAAAATCATAGCTTACATATTTCGTTACTTATACGCCTCACAATGTTGCCAAATCGTACAAAAAAAATGTAAGGTAGGTAGGTTTATAAAGAGTATTTTATGAAAAACTAGTTTAATTTATCGAAATAACCATAATTCAAAAGAAGAATAAGAAAAAGAATCAGAAGAAAAATCAGAATAAGAATCAGAAAAAGAATATTAAAAATATTCTAGAAATAGTAGTATGAATAGTAGTAACAATAGTAGTACAAACAGTAGTACAAATAGTAGAACAAATAGTAGTACCAATAGTAGTACGAATAGTAGTACAAATATTAGTACAAATAGTAGTACAAATAGTAGTACAAATAGTAGTACAAATAGTAGTACAAATAGTAGTACAAATAGTAGTACAAATAGTAGTACAAATAGTAGTACAAATAGTAGTACAAATAGTAGTACAAATAGTAGTACAAATAGTAGTACAAATAGTAGTACAAATAGTAGTACAAATAGTAGTACAAATAGTAGTACAAATAGTAGTACAAATAGTAGTACAAATAGTAGTACAAATAGTAGTACAAATAGTAGTACAAATAGTAGTACAAATAGTAGTACAAATAGTAGTACAAATAGTAGTACAAATAGTAGTACAAATAGTAGTACAAATAGTAGTACAAATAGTAGTACAAATAGTAGTACAAATAGTAGTACAAATAGTAGTACAAATAGTAGTACAAATAGTAGTACAAATAGTAGTACAAATAGTAGTACAAATAGTAGTACAAATAGTAGTACAAATAGTAGTACAAATAGTAGTACAAATAGTAGTACAAATAGTAGTACAAATAGTAGTACAAATAGTAGTACAAATAGTAGTACAAATAGTAGTACAAATAGTAGTACAAATAGTAGTACAAATAGTAGTACAAATAGTAGTACAAATAGTAGTACAAATAGTAGTACAAATAGTAGTACAAATAGTAGTACAATTAAGAGTACAATTAGTAGTACAAATAGTAGTACAAATAGTTGTACAAATAGTAATACAAATAGTAGTACAAATCAGAAGAAGAATCAGAAGAAGAATTAGAAGAACAATCAGAAGAAGAATAGGAAGAAGAATCAGAAGAAGAATCAGAAGAAGAATCAGAAGAAGAATCAGAAGAAGAATAGGAAGAAGAATCAGAGGAAGAATCAGAAGGAGAATTAGAAGAAAAATCAGAAAAAGAATCAGAAGAAGAGTCAGAAGAAGAATCGGAAAAAGAATCAGAAGAAGAATCAGAAAAAGCATCAGAAAAAGAATCAGAAGAAGAATCAGAAGAAGATTCAGAAGAATTAAAAAAAGAATCACAAGAAGAATCAAAAGAAGAATCAAAAGAAGGATCAAAAGAAGAATCAATAGAAGAATTAGGAGAATAATCAGAAAAAGAATCAGAAGAAGACAAAGAAGAATAATCAAAAAAAGAATAAGAAATAGAATCAGAAGAATAATCAGAATAAGAATCAGAAAAATAACCTGAAAAAGAACCAAAAGAAGAACAATGAGAAGAACAAGAAGAATAACAAGGAGAAGAACAAGAAGAAGAACCAGAAGAAGAATCAGAAATATAATCAGAAGAAGAATCAGTAAATTAATCAGAAGAAAAATCAAGAAAAATCAGAAGATCAATGCTTAGCTGTTATTGCGTTGAAATTTTGAGCGAGTTGCCTGTGAGACACCAGCTGTGTCTAATGGTATTGTGATGACCAGCAAACTAAAAATAAATAAGGTATAAAACGGAGAGATTATTGGCATTTTTACTGAATATTTACATATACCAGAGTTGTTGGATTTTCCTATGTTGTAGTAATGTTTTTTTCTTACAAATAACACACAGATACCTGTTTTTTAATCTCATTATTTTATCATAAAAAAAAATTTAAAAATAAACAATATTTATACGTTCCCGTTGGTTCAATCAGTGTAACTAATTTTTCGTTTCCATTCGCATTATTTTCACAAAATATTTTCGACCTATTTCATAATGCACATTGGTTTTAAAGTATGGTTAAAGAATAGCTAGTAGGTAAAAAACAATGCGATAAATATTTTGAATTTCTAATTCTTACGAATATTTATAATTACTAAGGTATTTTTATGAATTTTACAACCACACCAAATTCTATGTGGAATATTGACGTTCTAATTAAGACGGAGTAGGTACCTACTGTACAATAGTGTTAATTTTTCAGTGAATTTTAAAAAACAAGAATATTTTAATAACCCTACAAACGATTTATTCAAAAAGGTGTAATATACATCCAAATATTAGTAAAGCAAATGTTTGAATTACAATGTTTCAACAGGTGAAACCAGTTCCAAACATAAATACAAATAATTAACAAGGAGGTTAGGTTTAATAATTTCGATTTTTCATTAGGTATAATTAAAAGATTATCTGCACATGTGTGTTCAATTAAAGAGTATTCAATGAATGAAGGAAATATAAATTTATTCTATAAAACGAACATTAATATCAAAAAAACAATTCAAACCTTTCCAGTGGATACATCTTCCCGGGCTTGGGGTATGATCGCAATCCAGTTCTGTTTAGGCCGAAAACAAAGGCTGCCAGCAAACGGAATCATCACAAATGCAGTTAATTTCACAAAAACGCACAATTTTCACCAATAATAATTCAAAACAACCCGCATTTACAAAACGAAAAGTCCTCCGGTTTGAGTTTTCCGACCTGTCACGTTGTTTCTATGTTTACAAGAGTGTGACTACAGCCTAGAGGGAGCCACATGACTGGAAATACGGCACGGAGGTTAGAAACGTTCGTGTACGTAGACAAAATAATTTTTTTCTGTGACGGGAAAAAAGTTTGACATTTTATTACTCTTTTGAGGTAACAAAATGTCACTTTTTATAAAATTACTTTTCCCCGTGTCCCAGGAAAAAAGTGAGTATTTTTTTCCCGGATATATTACACATAAGTAAAGGTAGGATATTTTAGAATATTTTTTCAATATTAAATCGTCGTTTTTCTTGTTACAGAAAAAAATAGTGTATTACAAACGGGAAAAATATTAGATTTTAGCTTTTGAGCCCAGTCAGTGATCCAGTCTCAAACAACAGTGCTTTTATGACAGTGTCTAAATTTAGGTGCGTTTTAATCATCTTCCGCTTCTTCTGGTAGGGAATAGGCCAAATAAAACGATCGGTAGAATTTTTGGCCTTTAATGCTTTAGGTATCACGCGACATGGTGAAAAACTATTTTGCATGCCGGATATAGGCCAAAAATTTTTAATAATCGTTGTTTAAAGACTTTCAAATAAATATAGCTGATTATTATAATACTAGCTACGTGTGTACATTTATTTTGATAAATAAATAATAATAACAGTACACTCTAAAAATATTACAAGATTTAGAGATTTTTA